CCACTGCAGACCTTCATCTGCCCCTGGGCACTGGTGAGGAAAGCAGGGCTCCAAGCCCGGGGACTCTTGGGATAGCAACTGCTTCAAGCAGCAGCCAGCCGGCTGTGGCCTGGATTCCTGAGCCTACAAGTCTTTAATTAGCCAAACTCAACACCCGCCCAAGGTGTGCCTGACAAATTCACACTCTGGTGATATCCGCATGAGCAGGCGTTACCTGCTGTGCCATCTTGCAACTCCTGCCCCTCCTGGCCCAGAACCATGGTCTGAGATGGTGATTTACTGCTCAGCTCCACACTGTACCCATGATGGATGCCATTCTGATGACCTGGCCAATGACCTCTGTGTCCCAAGACTCGACCCTTCTCTGGGCCACCCCGCTCTATAGGCCAAGGCTTCCAGGAGGCTCCTCTCCAGCCTTGTAGGAGACCTAGACATTGGAAGACCCTTGGGGACCCACTCTGAGGTGCAAGCAGGCCAAGTACCTAATCTGGCCTTTTGTTGTTGTTGTTGGTCATGGGGCTTGAACTCTGGGCTTGGGCACTGTCCCTCAGCTCTTCAGCTCAAGGCAAGCATTCTACCACTTGAGTCACAGTGCCACTTCCTGTTTTCTGGTGGTTCATTGGAGATAAGAGTCTCCTGGACTTCTCTGCCCAGGCTGGCTTTGAAGCACGATCCTCAGATCTCAGCCTCCTGAGTAGGTAGGATGACAGACGTGAGCCACCCGTGCCCCAGCTGATCTGGCCTTTCACCACAGTGGACTAGGATCTCCTGAAAGCTTTTCTTTATTTTTTTATGTGACACTACTGAGGCTTGAACTCAGGGCTTGGGCTCTGGTCTCTTAACTTTTTCCCTCACGGTTGGTACTCTTGAGCCACAGCTCCATTTCTGGCTTTTGGTAGTTAATTGGCAGTGAGTCTCACTAACTTTCCTACCCTGAGCTGGCTTTGAACCACGATCTTTGATCTCAGTCTCCTGAGTAGCTAGGATTTACAGGGGTTGAGCCACTGGTGGCATTGGGCTAGAAGCTTTTCTGAAGCAAGAGCTCTTCCCTGCGTTTGCCCTGACTCCTCCATGCAAAGGAGGCCTGAGGGTCAGGAGCTGTGAAAAATAGGCTTCCAGCCACAGGAAATGGCTGGGGTCCCCGGTGAAAAGCCAAGCTAATCTTCCCCGTGGGCCCCATTCTGGGACCCCACCCTCTGCCCTACCTTTGACTGAAGTACAAACCTTGACCCAGCCTTTAATGTTCTGCCAGACTTGTCTGAAGCCACAGAACCTTCATTCCACCCACACCACCTGCTCTATACCACACCTCAGGACCTTTGCCCATGCTGTACCTTCTGCCTGAGGCATTCTGTCCTGTTCCACACCTTAGAACTCCTGTGGAATTTTAGCCCTAGTTATATCATCTCGTGGAGCAGGTCTTTCCCTCCCTTCTCCCTCTTTTTTTATATTTTGGTATTGAGTTGCTAGAGATGGAACTTGTGCAGGCTGACTGGCAAATGCTCTATCGTGTGTGTGTGTGTGTGTGTGTGTGTGTGTGTGTGTGTGCGCGCGCGCGTGCGTGCGCGTGCGTGCGTGTGTGCGTGCGTGTACGCCAGTGCCATTCCTAGGGTTTTAATTCAGGGCCTGGACACTATCTCTGAGCTTTTGTGCTCAAGGCTAGCACTCTACTACTTGAACCACAGCTCTACTTCTGGCTTTTGGGGGGTGCTTAATTGGAGAAAAGAGTCTCATATAGGCTTTCCTGCCTGGGCTGGCTTTGAATTGTGATCCTCAGATCTCTGCCTCCTGAGTAGCTAGGATTACAGGGGTGAGCCACAAGCACCTGCCATCTACCTCTTACCTCTAACCTCGGCCCTCCTCTGAATCCCAGAAGAATCTCACCAGGATTACTTTTTTTTTTTGGCCAGTCTTAGGGCTTGAACTCAGGGTCTGGGCATGTTCCTGAGCTTCTTTTGCTCAAGGCTAACACTATCACTTAAGCCACAGTGCCACTGTTGGCTTTTTCTATTTATATGGTACTGAGGAAGTGAACCCAAGGCTTCTTCATGCATGCTAGGAAAGCACTCTACCACTAAGCCACATTCGCAGCCCAAGGCTCACTTCTAGCAGGAGCTATGAGGGTGGGATTTATGGGCTTACCCCTTTCAACGCAGAAGTCGCTGGCTATTTCCTATCTTTGCCAGGATTTTGGCCCAGCCTGAGACTCGGCAATGAGGAATGAATGATAGCCACCAGGCCCCAAAGGTCTAGTCTCACATCCTACAGAGTAAGAGACTATGGAGCCAGAACCTTCCACAACTCCTACAGCCTAGGAACTGTGGTCTCCCTGGAGGCAGTGGCTGGCTTCTAGGTGTCCCGGTGGGACACCTCAGCCAGAACACAATGCACCCGTTGCACACACCAGCCCAGGCAAGCCCTCAGGGCTTCAGTTATTAAATGGCAGAGAAGGATGCTTTGTTCAGGCTGCCGGCTCAGACTTAGTACTCTTTGAGGGCCTGTCCCAGCTTGCCCAGGTTGGGGGGCTGGGCATGGGCAACCTGCTGAGTACCAGGGGGCTCTGTGAAAGGACTTTGGAGACCTGGCACTGGTATATAAGTGAGCAGGTAGAGTCCTTGAAACAGTGATAGAAAAGCTTAGAGAACAGGCTGGCCTAGGGAATTCTAGTCTCAGGGATGGCTCAAGAAGAGAAACCAATATTGCTATGGCCCGGGGTAGACAGGCTAGGAGGAGAAGGGGGACTCAGAGCAAGCAGATGAGAAGGTAGAGGTAGTTATGGTGTTAGATATAAGGTACCCAGAATCTGAGTTCTGGCCTAAGGAAATGAGGGAGGGAAGTCTCCTGATCAGTGATTAAAGTTTAAGGATACCAGAATGTAAAGCCTAAATCCATGACTCTAATCCTAGCTACTCAGGAGGCTGAGATCTGAGGATCACAGTTCAAAGCTAGTCTGGGCAAAAAAGCCTGTGTGTGAGACTTTGTTTCCAATTAAGCACCCAAAAAGCTGGAAGTGAAGCTGTGACTAGTAGAGTACTAGTCTTGAGCAAAATAGCTGAGGGATAGTGCCCAGGCCCTGAGTTCAAACCCAAACCCAGGACTCACACACACATACACACACACACACACACACACACACACACACACACACACACAGAGCTTAGTCCCAACTTCCTTATTCACCTCATCCCTTGAGCTAGACCAGAGACTACCAGGTTCTAAAATGAGAGAAATGGGGGCTGGGAATGTGGCTTAGTGGTAGAGTGCTCACCTGCTTGCATGAAGCCCTGGGTTCCATTCCTCAGTACCACATACACAGAAAAAGCCAGAAGTGATGATGTGGCTCAAGTGGTAGAGTGCTAACCTTGAGCTGAATAAGTTTAGGGACAGTGCCCAGGCCCAGAGTTCAAGACCCATGACCAACAAAGATTAATTAATTAATAATAATAATAATAAATGAGAAAAATGAGAATTCAAAGCATCATTTGGGAAAAGCAGCATGGGACTCAGGACAGGCTATGGCGGGCTGTCTCTTCCAACAGAGTTACCCCATCTTCTGGTCTCCATTCTGGCTCAGCCCTCCTTCTAGCTTGTCTGGCTTTCAGGATATCCCAACAGAACCTGGTTTATGATGCCCAGACACCTTTTGGGCATGGGTAGTCAACTCCTGGTCCCAAGGATGGGAGAGGAGCCAATGAGTGGTCTGGGTAATGCAAAGGGGGAACGGGGAAGCTGGATCTTTTGAGTTCCAGGCACAACCAACTCCTGAGAGCAAGAAAGAGGTACTGACTAGTGATCCAGGCCAAGCCCTGGAATCCTAGCTGGGGGGGTAGGGGAGACTCCAAAAAAGCAAGGGCTTTATTTAGCGGATGATCTGGATGTTGGGCACCTGAGCGTTGCCAGACCCTGGCAGGAGAGGAGAGAGGAGAGGCTTGAAGGAAAACCTGACCAAGACTATGTGGAAGGTTAGGATTGGGTGGCCCAGAGAATCTAGGCCCTGAAACACCCATTTCCTGGAAGGGCCCTTCAGAGCTTTTCACCACAGCCAGGCAGTAAGAGCCCAGGTGTCCACAGGCCCCAGCACTGCCTCAGGCCCCTAGCTCGAGGGTGGGGGTACAGCTCTGCGCCTGCTGTTCCTAGAGCCAACTCTCAGCCCACAGAGAGCCCTTTGTTCTGGCTGCCAGCAGTGCCCGCCGGGCGGCTGGGAACAAGGCCCACAGCCCTCACCCTCTCCCAAGGCCTCCAGCCATCAGGCAATGCCATTCTAGGTTGGACAGGAGGGTCCTGGCACCCAGACCCAGTGCAGGAAACTGTGTACCAAAACCGGGGTCGGGAGGGAGAGTCATTCCTGAGGGCACACTCAAGAGGAGGGTTGAGGACCTGGGATTCAAGCATCCTCCTGCTGCCGGGTCAGCTCAGGCCACGTACAAATGACACTCACTTTACAGATGGGGAAACTGAGGTTGCAAAGACTCACATGGTGAGGTGTCCCATCAAGATGTCCCGGGGAAGCCAGGCACTGGTAACTCCCATCTGTAAGCCTAGCTACTTAGGAGCCTTTTTCTGTGTATGGGGTACTGAGGAATTGAACCCAGGGCTTCATGCATGCTAGGCAAGCACTCTACCACTAAGCCACATTCCCGACCCTGTCCGTGCATCTCTTATCTCCAGTGAATCACCAAAAAGCCGAACGTAGAGCGAAGGCTCAAGTGGTAAATTGCCAGCCTTGAGTGAAAAACTAAGGGACAGTGTCTGGGTCCTGAGTTCAAATCCCAGGATTCACACACACACACACACACACACACACAAACACACACACACATTTGGGGGAACTCAGGTATTCAAGAGCTAACTCCGTCATCCTAAAGCAGACCCCCCGCCCCCCAGTGAAGCAGTAGGCAGAGACTCAGGTGAGCATATGTCCTGAGCAAGCCTCTGCTATGACCTTGTATGGAAGGTTGAGCTGTGAGCCCAAAGATAACAGAGGGCCTGCTGCTCCACAGACACCTGCCTGACTGTTGGTGTGAGAGCAAGAACTCCAGATTGTGGCCTCCAAGTCATGGAAGCACCTTTGCAGACAGAGATGGTAGAGCTGGTGCCCAACGGCAAACACTTGGAAGGCCTACTCCCTGTGGGCATGCCTACCACGGGCAATGAGAGGTGAGTAGAAAAGGATCTAAGTGGAGGCTCTGGACAGGATGGGCAGGGGGTCCACTGCACAGGACTGGATCTCAGTCACCAACCTTGGTTCCTGTCTGCAGGATGGAGGATTCCAGAAGGAGCTGTGTGGAAGGCAAGAGCTTCTTACAGAAAAGCCCCAGCAAGGAGCCACACTTTACTGATGTGAGCTGGACCATCCAAAGGGTTTTGGGGGACTGTGGGGAGGTTCGGCACAGTAATGGGGTGCTCTGGGGTTGGTGATGGGAGGCTGAGGGACAGTACCACCATACCCATGGTTGTTTTGTTGTTTTCCTGTTTGTTTGTTTGTTTGTTTTGCCAGTCTTGGGGCTTGAGCTCAGGCCTAAGAGCTATTCCTGAGTGGCTTTTCTGTTCAAGGCTAGCACTCCATCATTTGAGCCACAGCTCTATTTTGGGCTTTTTACTGATTTATTGGAGCTAAGAGTCTCAGGGACTCTCCTGCCCAGGTTGGCTTTGAACCATGATCGTCAGATCTCAGCCTCCCTGAGTAGCTAGGATGACAGGTGAGCCACTGGTGCCCACCTAGTTCCATGTTTTTCTGACTCTCTATCCCTCTCCACCCAACTCCGGTCTCCTGCAGTTTGAGGGCAAGACATCATTTGGGATGTCAGTGTTCAACCTCAGCAATGCCATCATGGGCAGCGGCATTCTGGGGCTCGCCTACGCTATGGCCAACACAGGCATCATTCTTTTCCTGTGAGTACCTCAGCAAACTTTCTGAATTTAGACAGTCCTAAACAAGCTACCAACCACAACCTCCCAAGACCCTCCTATTCACTCTCCGGTGGGTGGGCACCTCTGACACTAAACCCAAACCACAGCTGCAAAAACAGTCACAGGCAGACAAGACTACCTCATTGCCCAGTAAACCCACAGGGCCAGCCTTACAGACCTGTGTCTGTTCTACCACATTTATAAATGCTAGGCCAAAACCCGTGGCCAGGTCTTTTTTTTTTTTTTGTCAGTTGTGGGGCTTGTTGTGGCCAGGTCTTGTGTGGGCACAGTGTCCCTGACCTGGGACCTCTAATCTGCAGGTTGAATGGAAAATATATTTGTCCCAAAGATTCAAGAGAAGGATGCTCAGAAAATAGTGATAAGGTCGGGCACTGCCAGGCGCCAGTGGCTCATACCTATAATCCTAGCTACTCAGGAGGCTAAGATCGGAGGATCGCTGTTCAAGGCCACCCTAGGCAGGAAAGTCCGTGAGACTCAGATCTCCAAAAAACTATTAGAAAACCAGAAGTAGTGCTGTGGCTCTAGTGGTAGAGCACTAGCCTTGAGCTGAAGAGCAGAGGGATAGCACCCAAACCCAGAATTCAAGCCTCAAGACCAACCAAAAACAAACAAGCAAAAAAAAAAGGTCAGGCACTGATGGCTCATGCCTGTCATCCTAGCTACTCAGGAGGCTGAGATCTGAGCATCATAATTCAAAGACAGCTAAGAAAGGAAAATTCGTGAGACTCTTATTGCTAATTAATGACCAAAAAGCCAGAAGTAGAGCTGTGGCTCAAGTGGTAGAGTGCTAGCCTTGAACACAAAAGCTCAGGGACATCACTCAGGACTTGAGATCAAGCCCCAAGACTGGTTTAAAAAAAAAGTCACAAGGTACCCCTGACCTACAACCTCTCTTCAAGGTTATATTCTGCCTCTGGTCATACTTCCGGAGCTTATAGAACTTAGATTTGCTTTTATGCTCAAAGCTAGTGTTCAACCATTTCCAGCCTCAGCTCTACTTCCAATTTTCTGGAGGTTCATTGGAGATAAGAATCACATAAACTTTCCTGACTGGGCTAATTTTATTTATTTATTTGTTTGTTTGTTTGTTTTTGGTCTTGGGGCTTGAACTCTGGACCTGGGTGCTGTCTGGCAGCTCTTTAGCTCAAGACTAGCACTCTATCACTAAAGCCACAGCACCACTTCCAGTTTTCTAGTGGTTTATTGGAGATAAGAGTCTCCTGGAGGGGCTGGGAAGGTGGCTCAATGGTAAAGTGCTTGCCTCACATGCAAGAGGCCCTAGGTTCAATTCCTCAGCACCACATACACAGAAAAAGCCAGAAGTGGGCACTGTGGCTCAAGTGGTAGAGCACTAGCCTTGAGCTGAAGAGCTCAGGGGACAGCCCAGGCTGAGAGTTCAAGCTCTACTACCAACCAAAAGAAAAAAAAAAAAGTCTCATGGACTTTCCTGCCCAGGCTGGCTTTGAACTGTGATCCTTAGATCTTAGTCTCCTGAGTAGCTAGGATGACAGGCAGCATTTATTTTTACGATGGCACCAAATATCCCAACCACAAATACTCCCCTGGGACCTCCCAGACCCCTCCCCTCCATTCCCCCCCCCACACACACACACCCAAACCTCAGCCCCGGCCAGACAAGGGATCATTCAGCAGCCTCTTTTCCGCCATCTTCACCCAGATTCCTGTTGACAGCCGTCGCCCTGCTTTCTAGCTACTCCATCCATTTGCTCCTCAAGTCCTCAGGGATTGTGGGTGAGTCTCTCGCCAGCCTGCACAGTGGGATGGCTGGGATTAGACTGGGTGAGCTCTCTTGACTCCCCTAACTTCATTTCCATAGGCATCCGTGCCTATGAGCAACTGGGCTACCGTGCCTTTGGGACCCCGGGAAAGCTGGCAGCAGCTCTAGCCATCACGCTTCAGAACATCGGAGGTGAGGCTGGTGGGCAGGACAGGAGGCTGAGAAAGTCTAAAGGCTGCTTCCCTTGGACAACCCTAGCACCTACCTGCCTGCCTCTTTCTTTCTCTCCTGCAGCCATGTCCAGCTATCTGTACATTATCAAATCTGAGCTGCCTCTTGTCATCCAGACCTTCTTGAACCTGGAAGAGCAGACTTCGTGAGCCTGAAGGGGGTGTGAGGCGGGAGGAAGGCCTTAGTTTCCCCCTGAGACCCACTACTGGCCCTGGGTATGGGAAGGGAGGAGAGGCCCAGCCGAGGTTGGAGGAGTTAAGACAGATTCAAGGCTGGTAGAAGACAAGAGAACTACCAGCCGAGGCAACACTCATTCCCATTTGTTTATGGGGTACCTGGGAACCCCCAGGATGGACTTGATGGGGCTGGAACAAGCTAAGGTTGGAGAAACTGGGCCCCCCCTGGCCTTGAGCCCCGCCTGTGAGCTGAGAGCCTTTGGCTTAACTCTAAGCACTTGCTATTCCTGACCACCGGATCACACCCCCCCCCCCCCTCCGCCACTACCAAGAGATTAAGCTGGTGTGGGGGGAGGTATTGCCTATCCCTTTAGCCAGCCCTGACTGGGTGTCCATCTTGTTTTGTGGCTAGGGACTGAGAGGAAATTATTAGGCCTTATTCTTGCTATACCAGCCCAGACAAGCTATAGGGGCCATGAGGCTGAGAGTAGCTTCTAGGAGAGTGAGAATGAGTTAAGATTCTGCCCTTTAGGGCTGGGAAGGTGGCTCAGTGGTAGAGTGCTTGCCTCACATGCATGAGGCCCTGGGTTCAGTTCCTTAGCACCACATAAGCAAAAAAAGAGCCGGAAGTGGCTCTGTGTGTGGCTCAAGTGGTAGAGCACTAGCCTTGAGCTGAAGAGCTGAGGGACAGCGCCCAGGCCCAGAGTTCAGGTCCCATGACTGACCAAAAAAAAGAAAAAGAAAAGAAAAGGAAAGAAAAGAAAGATTCTGCCCTTTGTCCCAAGGAGTTAGCCTTTGAATTTGTCCTAGAAGGATGGTTCTGGCCATACTCTCTATACCATCCCATGCCCTACATCCATTTCCAGGACAGATGCTACAAGATAGCTGTCAGAAGAAATCACAAGGGACTTAGTATTAGTATTGGCAAGTCCCTGAGACCCCTGTGGAAAACACAGTCGACCCCCGCCCCAGCCAGGTCCCTTCATCTCACCCACTTCCCCAGACCCCTGTGTACTGAAGAAAATAGCAACAACGGCTGTAATCGTAAGGTTACCAGCTGTGCCAGGAAGCCTGTGTCCCTTATGCATTGTGCCTTTTTGCAGGTAGGGCGGGTTCTGAGCCTGGCTTTGTACTCTAACTCCTGCAGGGACTGGTACATGAATGGGAACTACCTGGTGATCCTGGTGTCCTCCACTATCATTCTGCCCCTGGCACTGATGCGGCAGCTTGGTGGGTGTGGCCTTGGAGGGATGTGGGAGGGACAAAGAGAAGCCCCACCCACCCACCTCCCAACCAGTCTCAAAAGTTCCTTCCCCTTCCCTGTTTTGCAGGCTACCTCGGCTACTCCAGTGGCTTCTCCCTCAGCTGCATGGTGTTCTTTCTAATTGCTGTGAGTCGATCTCATGTCAGTCAAGGAAGGGGTAATTGCTGGGCACCAGTAGCTCACGCCTGTCATCCTAGCTACTCAGGAGGCTGGGATCTGAGGATAGAGGTTCAAAGCCAGCTCAGACAGGGAAGTCTGTGAGGCTCTTATTTCCAGTTAAGCACCAAAAATTAAAAAAAAAAGGCTGGAAGTGGAGCTGTGGCTCAAAGTGGTAGAGAACTAACCTTGAGCAGAAAAAAACAAAACCAAGAACACTTCAGGGACAGCACCCAGGTCCTGAGTTCAAGTCCCAGAACTGACATTAAAAAAAAAAAAAGAGAGAGGGCTGGGAAGGTGGCTCAGTGGTAGAGCGCTTGCCTTGCATGCCTGAGGCCCTGGGTTCGATTCCTCAGCACCACATAAGCAAAAAGAAAAAAGCCGGAAGTGGCGCTGTGGCTCAAGTGGTAGAGCGCTAGCCTTGAGCTGAAGAGCTGAGGGACAGCGCCCAGGCCCAGAGTTCAGGCCCCACGACCGGACCCCCCCCCAAAAAAAAAGAAAGAAAGAAATAGAGGAGTATAGTTACCTAGGGGAGTCCTCAATCTGAGAGAAGGCAAATGTCTTTGGGAAGCCTGGTTCAGAAGGTAGCTCCTCCTTCAATGCAGATCCAGATGTGGCTTCACGGTGTCTTGATAAGAAGCCTTGTCTAGATCTGATGCACTCATTCCTCCTACCTCAGGTCATCTACAAGAAGTTCCAAGTGCCCTGTCCTCTGCCATCCAACTTGACCAATGGCACAGGCAACTTCAGCCACGTGGAGGTGATGGAGGAGAAGGCACATCTGCAGGCAGAACTTGACGCTGCTGCTCTCTGTACCCCAAGCTACTTCACCCTCAACTCACAGGTTCTGAGAGGCCAGGCCAGGGATGGAGGTTGGGAGGAGGTTGATGGGTGGAGGCCTTCCTTGACCAGGTCTCACGTGTCCCCAGACAGCATATACCATCCCCATCATGGCCTTCGCCTTCGTCTGCCACCCTGAGGTGCTGCCCATCTATACGGAGCTCAAGGAGTAGGTGTCTACAGCTGATGGAGGAGGGGAGGGAGGATAGGGCAGAGCAGGCCTTGAGCTGACTTGGGAGAATGCTGTGATCTTAGGTTGTATGTTGGTTGAGGAGGGGTGGACCTAAGTCATCTGATCTTAGAGCTCTGTAGCTGCTACTAGGAGAGATCACCTTGGAGTATATCTGGGCCTTCCAGTGTGGCCCATCTGGTTACCAGGCACCTCTTCCCCCTACCCTCATACACAGCCCTTCCAAGAAGAAGATGCAACACATCTCTAACCTGTCCATTGCTGTGATGTATGTCATGTACTTCCTGGCTGCCCTCTTCGGCTACCTCACCTTCTATGGTATGGCTGGACCAATGGGGGGCAAGGGAGGAGGCCATGATGGAAGGCAGGGTCCCCCCCCACACACACTCTGCATGCCACCATTCCCTTCCTAGCCTACTGACCCCCTCCCATTCCCTGCCCACCACAGACAGAGTCGAGTCAGAACTGTTGCACACCTACAACAAAGTGGACTCATTCGACGTGCTCATCTTGTGTGTGCGTGTGGCCGTGTTGACAGCAGTGACACTCACAGTGCCGATCGTTTTGTTCCCGGTGAGCCCAGATGACTGGTGGTTGGATCTGTGGATGTGGAGGGAGAGAAGGGTCATAGATGGAGGCTCATGTATGTATGGCTTTTCCCACCTGCTCTAGGTACGCCGAGCTATTCAGCAGATGCTGTTTCAGAACCAGGAGTTCAGCTGGCTGAGACACGTGATCATTGCCACTGGCTTGCTCACTTGTATTAACTTGCTGGTTATCTTCGCCCCCAACATCTTGGGCATCTTTGGGATTATTGGTAAGAAGCTGATCTTGTTATAGAAGTTAGGGATCATGCCCTTAAGGAGTTTGACTTCTGCAAATCCTGGCATATTTCTGAGCTCACACTCTAAACTTTCAGTGACGGCTGCTAGCCATACACACTATTAGATCTTTTCCTTGAGGCTCTTGTCAATTCCTTTCAAAGGCTCAAAGCCACTCAGTCTGTCTTCCTTCATGAGAGACCTGGGTGGACCTCAAAGGTGAGGAGCCTCCACAAAAGAGTACATTGAACTGCTGGCAGCTCCTACCTATAATCCTAACTGCTCAGGAGGCTGAGATCTGAGGATCACAGTTTGAAGCCAGCCCAGGCAGGAAAGTCTGTGAGACCCTTAGTTCCAATTAACCACCAGAAAACCAGAAGTGGTGCTATGGCTCAAAATGGTAGAGCACTAGCTTTGAGCAAAAGAGCTCAGGGACAGTGTCCAGGCCCTGAGTTCAAGCCCCATGACCAACAACAACAAAAGATTTCATTAAGTTGGAAATGGTGGTACATACCTGTAGTCCCAGCTCCTTGGGAGGATGATATGGGAAGACACTTGAGCCTGGGCTGGGTACCAATTGTTAGGTTTTTCAAAAGAGGTAGCCAAGTAAGAACAGCACCACGCACGTGGTATTCAGGTAAGGGGTAGGTTTATTCAGTAGACCTGCTGGGACCAGACCAGGTTGGCACTCCATGCGTCTGGCAAAGAGGGCGTCTGGCCTTATGTAGGGTAGGGGCAGGGAAACGTGTGTCCAGGTAAAGGGAAGTGGGACCAGGTAAGAGGAAGTGGGATCAGGTGGGAGAAAGGTGTGGCCACATCAGATCCATGTGACCTCAGTGGATGCAGATGTGACCTCTTCCAGGTGTCCCAGTTGCCTAGGTAACACAGGTACTGGGCGGGGTCTGCTCACCATCCAGGAATGGACCTTACACCAATGGCTTATTCCTGTAACCCTAGTTACTAAGAAGGCTGAGATCTGAAGGTCCAGTTTCAAAGTCAGCCCAGGCAGACAAATCCAAGAGACTCTTATCTCTCATTAACTAGTGAAAAGCCAGAAATAGAGGTGTGGCTCAAGTAGTAGAAGTTCCAGCCTTGAAGCCGGGCGCCAGTGGCTCACGCCTGTAATCCTAGCTACTCAGGAGGATGAGATCTGAGGATCATGGTTCAAAGCCAGCCTGAGCAAGTGAAGTCCGACAGACTCTGATCTCCAATAAACCACTAGAAAACCAGAAGTGGCGCTGTGGCTTAAGCAGTAGAGTGCTCGCCTTGAGCCGAAGAGCTGAGGGATAGCGCCCAAGCCCAGAGTTCAAGCCCCAGAACCAACCAAAAAAAAAAATAAGTTCCAGCCTTGAGCAGACAAGGCTAAGCAAGAAGTGTGAGGGCCTGAGTTCAAGCCCCAGTACTGGCACACACAAAAAAAGTGTGGAGGGGAGTGTATTATTTCTTGGAGCCCCAGAATCAGACAGCATGAAACTCTCCTGATGAGAAATGTTTGATCTTATTTCTTTCTTAATTTTTTTTTTTTTTTTGCCAGTCCCGAGGCTTGAACTCAGGGCCTCAATACTGTCCCTGAGCTTCTTTTGTTCAAGGTTAAGCTACAGCACCACTTTTGGCTTTTTCTGTGTCTGTGGTACTGAGGAATCGAACCCAAGGCCTCATGCATGCTAGGCAAGCACTCTCCCACTGAGCCACCTTCCCAGCCTGGAATGTTTGATCTTCCTGAAGGGTCTGCCCGCAAACTTTAATCCATGATCTTTATAGGTGCCACCTCTGCTCCATGCCTCATCTTTATCTTCCCTGCCATCTTCTACTTCCGAATTATCCCCACTGAGAAGGAGCCTGCTAGATCCACACCCAAAATCCTGGTTCGTAGTGGCTTGAAGGCTGGGAGACTGGTGTGGGGCTGGGAAGGGGTGGGAGGTGAGGTCTCCAGACCTTTGATGTGATTCCCATTTTTGGATTCCACAGGCTCTTTGTTTTGCCGTGGTTGGCTTCTTACTAATGACCATGAGTTTGAGCTTCATTATCATTGACTGGGTCTCCGGGACCAGCCGACATGGAGGAAACCACTAAGGATGACTTTCATCTACTTCTGTCTACACATTCTAGCACCCCTGGTCCAGAATCTCCAAGCCCCTGCTCCCATCCTGTGGCCAGGTTGGAGGGGGGGGTGAAGAGGGGGGGGGAGGAGAAAGACAAGGGAGACAGACTCATAAACACCAGGGCCTTTGGCCCTGCCCACATCCTCTTCTGTGGAAGGTTTTTGTTAAAGAGCCAGGAGCAAGGCCCTTTGGCCACCACCTGCTGAGATCCTGAGCTGCAGGGGGGCTTCCTGAGCAGGGAACAGGGTGGGGTTGTGGCCTCAGATCTCACCCAAACCCTTCATCTCCCCCACCCCCTCCCACAGCTGCATACACTGAAGTACAACATCTGGCTATTTAGGTGGTCCAGAAGCCTACTGGGACACTTAGAACTGGAACCCAGAGCTGGTAACCCAGCCTCCCCCCAACACCCCCTTCATGGCCAGAGTTGTGCCCCCAGAGGGCTTCTCTCCCCCAGCTCATTATTCCCTTTCCTCCTTTTTAACCTTTTGGCTCATTTTAGAAAACTTGGACCAAGTGGCTCCTTTTGTTCTCTTCTATCTCCTTCACAAGAGGGGATCTTCCGTACCCCATAGCTTGGGCCAGGAGGTTCTGCTGTGGATGGGGTATACATCTCCAAAGGGGTCACTTCCCCTGTCCATTCACCAGTCCCAGGGAGGCTGGGACTCCCAAACTCAATTCCTGGGTCCATATCTCACATTCCACTACTAGGAGAAGAAAGGCTGAGCCCAGAGTCTATCCTACCCCTGGGAACCAAAGATCCCCCACGCCCCAAGACTGGGACAGGGGTGGGGAGGCTAACGGCCCTCTTTTATAAATATTATACAGAAGACAAATTGTGCTTTTTTTATATTCTTGGTCTCCATGGTCTGTGGGTTCCTGGAAAGCAGGGTGGGGATTCAGGATACATATGGTAATAGAAACACACACACACACACACACACACACACATCTTCTTGCCTGAATGAGGGTCAAGCAGGGGAAGACCCCCACTCACTCAACCTTCCTGCCTTCCAGACCAACCAGTGGAGTGCTCAGACCCAGCTCTGGAGCTAGGCCAAGCTCAGCACAGACCTGCTTTCTCACGGGGTGAGGTGGGGAGGAATTAATGAGGCCCCAGGAAGTGGGACAGAGAGAGGCCTCCAGAAGCAAGCAACGTGAGGTGCATCCCCAGCAGTTCCAGAGAGGGTCTGAGCTGGGGGGGACAGCGGAGCCATGCAGAAGCCCCAAGTGGGCCTCCTACCTTTCCCTGACTCCCCAATTACTGTGCCAATCTTCTGCCAGGAGATCAAAAAGAAAAAAATCCAGGGAGCTAAAATCTTTATTGATAGTAAAATCTACTGTGAATAAAGATGAATGAGTGAGTCCTTGGAATGGGGTGGGGGGTCTCTGAGTGGCTGGGAGAAGGAAAAGTCAAAGGCAAGGCAGGCAGGGGCTACAGGGAGTCCTGGCCTGAGCATCAGGTGCCCTGGCCTGGGCCCAGGAGGCAGAGGAGACTGGGAAACTGCCCACTGCCTTAGGCAGGCCTAAACCAGCTGAATCACAGCAGGATGGACCTGCTCTGGCCTTGGCACCAAACTCTCATTAGGAGAGACCCTGCACCAGGCTAGGCTACTGTGGTAAGGACAGCAGGAAAAATCCAGTTTGAACTCACAAGGCAGCTGCCAAATCTGGAAACCCCTGAAGAAAGAACTTCCTCAAGCTGGTGGCTGTTTGGCCCTGGACAGTGCCAGCTGGGCAGAAGGGGCTTCCTGAGTCTTATTCCCATTATCTCCAGGCGCCTGACTCCAGCCTGGGGACTCACCCAGGAGTCTAATGGCTCCAGGAGAAGGCTGGACACTGACCTAGAGACAGAGGCAGCCCAAAGTGACCCTCGGAGAGTTTCCGACCTCTTCCCTACAGATGGGGCTATAGCTCTGCCTGGAACCCTTGGCTCTAGGAGAGTGAGAGAAATAACAGTCAATCCTGAAGACAGGCAACCCCTAGGGGGGGTGGGTGTCTTTCCACACACTGTCTGCATTCAAGCCCAGCTCTGGTGGCTCACACCTGTGACCCTAGCTACTCAGGAGGCTGAGATCTGAGGATCACACTTCGAAGCTAGCCTGAGCAGGAAAGTCCATGAGAAAAAGAGTCTCACAGAGACTTTTCTGCCCTGACTGGCTTTGAACCGTGATTCTCAAATCTCAGCATCCTGTGTAACTAGGATTACAGGTGTGGGCCACTGGCATCCAGCTGAGCTACAGCTTTGAGGAGGAAAAAAAAAAATCAAGTGATTCAGGCACCAGTGGCTCACACCTATAATTCTAGCTACTCAGGAGGCTGAGATCTGAGGATCGAGGTTCAAAGCCAGCCCAGGCAGGAAAGTTCATGAGACTCTTACCTCCAATAAGCCACTCAGAAAACCAGAAGTGGTGCTGTGGCTCAAGTGGTAGAGCACTAGCTTTGAGCTGAAGAGCTCGGGGACAGCGCCCAGGCCCAGAGTCCAAGCCCCACAATCAACAACAACAACAACAAAAATCAAGTGAGAGGTTGAGGCCCTGAATTCAAGTACACACACACACACACACACACACACACACAGAGTATTTATTGTAACAGGTATTGTTTCAGCACCTGCAAGCTTATCAATGACCAGATGCTTTCCTTAACCCATCCATCCCAGATAGAAAGTTGGATTCAGAAAAGAAATGTAAAGCACAACCACTAAATCATATCACTTGATAGGAGATGTTAGTACTATGGGAAATACAAATATCCCCAAGGTAAGAGCAAGAGGGAAGGGGGTCAGGGGGTAGGCCAAAGTGGGCCTCACTAAAGATCAACTTTTCATCAGAGATTTGCAGAAAAAAAAGAAAGCATGAGGCTGCTTCCAGGGGAATGCATTAGTCAGCGGGATAAGCCAATACACAGCCCTGAGGCAGAATGTGCCTGGCATGTGAGAGGAACTACCAGGAGGCCGCTGGGGCTGGGGCTGGGGCTGGGGCTGAGTGAGACAGACTAGAAGACTAGACTTCATAGGAGGAACTCCATAGATCAAGATGCATTGTACTCATGAACTGTGTATGTTGAATGGCTATTCCCCTTGTGCAACTATTTAAAGATTGTATTGTGAAGTTATATAGAAAATATATAAATGAAGTATGCATACATATCCACATATGACCCTGACCCTGGTGGGAGCCTAATGAGGAGGAATATGTATGAGGCCCTATGGGCCACTGTAAGAACTCTGGATTTATCACTGGATAAGAATACCAGGTCTGGGAAGGTGGCTCAGTGGTAGAGTGCTTGCCTTGCATGCATGAGGTCCTGCGTTCGAATCCTCAGCACCACATAAGCAGAAAAAGCTGGAAGTGGCGCTGTGGCTCAAGTGGTAGAGCACTAGCCTTGAGCTGAAGAGCTGAGGGACAGCGCCCAGGCCCAGAGTTCAGGCACTACAACCCACAAAGAGGAAGAAGAAGAGAAGGAGCAGGAAGAAGAAGAAGGAGGAGGAGGAGAAGAAGAAGAAGAAGACCACCACCACCACCACGCTGGGTGCTGTGGCTCACGCCTGTAATCTTAGCTACTCAGAAGGCTGAAATCAGGATTGTGGTTCAAAGCCAGCCCAGGCAGGAAAGTCCATGAAACTTTTTTTTTTGTCAGTAGTGGAGCCTGAACTCGGCCTGGGCACTGTCCCTCCACATTTCGGCTCAAGGCTAGCTCTCTACCACTTGAGCCACAGCACCACTTCCAGCTTTTTCTGCTTATATGGTGCTGAGGAATTGAACCCAGGGCCTCATGCATGCAAGGCAAGCGCTCTACCACTGAGCCACCTCCCTAAGCCCTCCATGAAACTCTCATCTCCACTAAACCACCAGAAAACCAGAAGTAGTGCTGTGGCTCAAGGGGTAGAGCGCTAGCCTTGAGCTGAAGAGCTGAGGGACAGTTCCCAGGCCCAGAGTTCGAGCCCCAGGACCAACAAAAAAGAAGAAAACCAATGCTGAGTCATTACAGAAGAGGATCTGATTTGATCATAACACTAAATTTTTTGTTTTGTGTGTGCATGTGTACACACACCAGTCCTGGGCTTAAACTAGGGATCTGGGCACTGTCCCTGAACTCTTTGCTCAAGACTAGCACTCTATCCCTTTGAGCCACGTTCTACTTCCAGTTATCTGGTGGTTCATTGGTGATAAGAGTCTCATGGACTTTCCTCCCTAGGCTGACTTTGAACCATGATCCTCAGATCTCAGCCTCCTGAGTATAGGACTCAAGTGTGAGCCCCCAACACATGGCTTGTCCCTTAGCCTTTATGCTCAAGGCTGGTGCTCAACCACTTAAGCCATAGCTCCACTAATGGCTTTTTGGTGATTCATTGGACATAAGAGTCTCACAGACTGTTCCTGCCTGGCTTAGAACCTACATCCTAAGGTCTTAGCTTCCTGAGTAACTAGGATTATACGTGCGAACTACCTGCGCCCAGCCCAGAAACTCACTTTCCAACAACTTGTACCAGTGATAATTGATGGCGAGTGATTTAGAAAGAAAAAGTATCCATGAAGAAAAAATTAAAAATCTGAAAGAACAGAACTGCTTTCCAAACCACAGAAGGCTGCAAAATGCCCAATTCTAAGCACAGCAGGAGCTTGGACTGTCTTAGCCAGAGACCTAATTCCCCAGAATTGCAAGATGCAGCCTCTGCTACCCCCTGGTGGTCAGTGATCTGAGTCTGAGCTGTGTGGTCACACACACACACACTACTCTACATGTTGAGCCCAGTGACAGAGATTGTGGACCTGGGTCAGGCCCTGAGGCTTCTGAGAAGGGAGATGGCCTGGGGTCTGGGCCTCCGCCCTGGGAATTATGGGATAAGTTCTGCAGGAATCCAGGTTGAGCATTTAGCAGCTGCCTGACCTTGGAGGGACCCAAAGCAAAGGAAGAGGCCAAAGCCCTAGACCCACTCTGTGTGTGTGTGTGTGTGTGTGTGTGTGTGTGTGTGTGTGTGTGTGTGTGTGTGTGTGTTTGTGTGTGTGTGTGTGTGTGTGGCTCAAGGCTAGCTCTACCACTTGAACCACAGCTCCACTGACAGCTTTGCTGGTGGCTGAGTTGAGTCTCCAGCTGGCTGGTGCAAGCCAGGAGGGAAGGTCGTGGAACAGAAGATGTGAAGCGTCAAAACTAAAACGTAAAAGGCCTCTGGGGGATGCGTGAGGGGCTATCCCAGAAGAGTGTCTGAGGAGCTGGAGCTAGGTGTGGGGCACCACGGAGAGCTCGAAGAAGAAGCCCATCGGCTGCTGTTCTGGGGAGCCAGAGTCCTGGCCCGTCACCAAGTGACAGGGTGGGAGGAAGCTGGGGCAAGAGCCGCAGGGAAGCACCAAGAGTAAGAGGTGGAGAAGTTGGAGGATCTGGCCGGACATGGCTCCTGTGCTGCGTTCTGGCACCACCAGGGGGCGCCGCTGCCCCGCCGAGCGCTGCGCAGCCTCCGGTGGACACCGAAACTGCGCGCGCTCGGGCCTAGAGAGGCCCCGGAAGAGGCGGGGAAAGCCTTCCGGCTGAAGCCACTTCCGGCTTCCGTCAGGGTTCCCCCCCCCTCCTGGGTGGCCAAGATTGAGAGAGGATGCGGTGGGCGGGGCAAGGGTGAGAGACTCTGGGAAGGTGGAGGACTGTGGGGTACGGGGTGGGGTACCGCGGGGCTGGCCTGCTGGGCTCTGAGGTGGCTTCCTGTGCAGGTCTGGGCTCCACTCCCAGCCTCTTGTGAACTGGGAGGCTGGGTGCCCTCAGACTCCAGAAAGGGAACAATGCAAGAGGCACTGCAGAGGAGGAGAGCAGGTATATAGCAGGTGTCAGGGCTCTGGG